ATAAATCATATTTTGATGTTGAAAAATATTTGTAAATAACACTTTTCGAAAAATTCTTCGTGTTTTTTCACATACGTTTACTTATATTTCTTCACATTTCTTGACTTATTTATTCAATTCTATTCTGCTTTTCTTTAATCTCTTTCTCGCTCTCTTTCTTTCTCTTACTCTTTTTCTCTCTCTTCCTTTCAGTTTCTCAGTCCTAGGATTATCATTTACTATGCGATAGAGAGACTGGAAGGCATTAGGCATTATTATACCTTTATCAGATGCACATTAATTCCTATCTTTTCTCAGACCATGGCGGCGACGAAGAGGAACGCTGGTCTGACATCCGCCGTGCCTCGAGCGACGCTGAACGACGAGGAGCTGGTAAGGACTTGCCCTTTAGTCACTATACTTCATCGTCGTCGTTAATAAACCAAAAGAAAAACGCTCGCCCTATAAGAAGAGGGTTAGCTATACCGCGTTATCCCGCTGATACTCTTCACGAGTGATAGCAAGAACTAAGCGCTTCTTTAACAATACTTTTCAAGATTGCCATTGCGTGAACGATGCGACGTGCCACGCCATTGATTAACGCCATTTAAATCACAAAGCAAAACTTAGAATTACTTTAATTACTTTCTTTCTACGCGATGTAGTAACCCGCTCGAAAAACCTCGCGCAGGAGCAGGACAAAAGGGAAAAAAGTTTCGAAAGCGAAGGTAAAGGGATGGTTTGGCTCGTGGCTGCGAGACGTTACGGCGAGAGGTAATAAGGGAAGAAATACGGGGACAAGTGTCAGAGTGAAATTAGATCCGTTACATTATTTAATTTTAAGTTTCAATACCGATGAGAGACCGGCGCCGAAGGAGCTTAACTTAACCACTGGACTCTCTTTTCTTTTCATACGAAACGTGCTGCATTTTATCCTCATTTCCACGCTCTTTTCTTTCACGTAAGTGTGAAGCCTAGCCTAGGTTTTCGTTCTGAATTTCCTTACTTCTACTTACCCCTCTCCCCTTCTCTCTCTCTCTCTCTTCGCACCTCGTGCTTACTTTGGTGCAACACGTAGCGACCTAGTGTAAAACACATTAGCGGCTAGGATACCGCGATACGTGCATACGCATCACGTCGTATGTACCGAAGAAGTATATGCATATGTATGCATTAGGCGAGAAAATAGTGGTCGAATCGCACACACATACACTATATATATATAGGACATCCATAGAAGAGCCTACATAGTCTGTATAGGAATATCACGACACGGGATACCATATCAGAGAGGAATGGCTAGGCTAGCCGTTAGGCGTTTCCGATTTCTATGACGTTGGATGTTCCTCGTGTATCGAATACCTGGGGTATCCTTACCAGGTCACTTTGACGCGTGATATTCGATAACGAGATATTTAATCTGTTCCCGTATGAATAATTTATTTAAGCAGCCTGAGAAAAAATTATGACGAATGGAATTTTGAGTTAATAAAATTCGATTATGATCCATCAACACTAGAAATAAGATTTTGCGTGCCGGCGGTTTTTATTTCAGACTTTTTTTAAAATACGCTTTTGATATTTCCGAGCCTCGAAGGAGAATATCGAAAAGGAACTGTATTAAAAAGTAACTGTCAATCGGTCGTTTATTTTTACATGTACTCTTACGTCGGGATGAAGATATACGGGTGGTGAAAAATTCATGCACCGGGGAACATCCCGAGTTCACACCTTAGTGCCATAGTGCTTAACGGATCGATGCTTTTACATCCCCTCCCCCTCTTCTCTCGCTAGACGGTCTAACGACATCCAGAAGACATGCTCGCTCTGAAACTTTGACGCGTACCGATACGTTAGACAAAAAAAAAAAGAAAAGGAAAAAGAAAAAGTGATATTTCTCAAAAAGTAAGACGAAGCGTGAATGTTCTAGATGTCTGACACGAGACGTGATGATCTCCTTACGATCGAGAAGCTCGCGTACGTGCGCTCGCGAAGATCTCCTAGGTAATTCCCCCTCCAAGCATGGAAAAAAATGCCCAAAGGAAAAAGAAAATCGATAGAGGTGCTCTCGAAAATCTAAAGCCGAAAGTCATTCTTTTTGTTTTCGAGAGGCGCGAGCAAGTAGGAAACCTAAAACAGCCTCTTAGCGTATCCAATTCGCTTTTATTCGGACCATACGTGGACTTTTCTTTGTGAAACTTACGTCTGCATATGGTTTGCGTGCACATGATTATGTAACTAGAAACTCACAAAAGCACTTCGATTAATGATCGTGTCCACGAGGGAGTTTTTGCGAGACATCGGATGGACAAAAAAACGAATGCTAATTCTTCGGTATTCCATTTACAATTTGAAACGCAAATTTTTAGATCGAAGCAAAAGTGGATTAAAGATCGATAACGGGTAATTGCGAAGCAAGTAATAAATTAAAAGAGCTGCTTTCTTAAAAGGTCACGATAAAGCTGTTTTATTTCTTCAATCGAAAATAGCTTCGCTAATATAATTTCTGTTATAATCTGATATTGTACAATTGTCCAATCGATCGTTCTTACGCGCAGATAATAGAATTTTTTATCACGCTAATAAAGATGTAACAATCACTTCGTCATATATCGAGCATCGGGGAATTTAAGGTATTTCTTTTCTATTCATAAGCAGAATATTCATAGAATCGATATCTAAAAATTTGACACAATGTAATTTGAAACAACGTAAAAAACATTTTATCGCGATATCCATATTGACATGTCGTAAAATACCGGCTCTTCCGAAAGATTAGTAATTTAGTAACGTCCATCGAATCGTTTAAATTCCTCAAAATTTGCAATTTTAACGGATGGAGAACCAAAGTAGAAAAACGAATGTATTTGCATAACCACCCGGTTTTTTTTTTTAACTCGTCTATCCTCCCCTATTTCCTCTTTTTTAATTTAACGGCGATGCAATCGCATAAATGAAACGCCCGCAGAAGATGCACGTGTACAAGAAAACCCTGCAGGCGATGATCTACCCCATATCATCGACCACCCCTCACAATTTCGTCACTTGGACGGCCACGTCGCCGACGTACTGCTACGAGTGCGAGGGTCTTCTCTGGGGCATCGCTCGACAGGGGGTGCGATGTATGGAGTGCGGTGTCAAGTGTCACGAAAAGTGCAAGGACCTCCTGAACGCCGATTGCTTGCAGAGTGAGTAACGTCAGTTTCTATTTTTGCAATTTGATTTCCGAAGGTGAATTCCACCAAGTGTCGCAAAGAGGAAATGTAGAAAAAAAATTGTGAATTGCACAATTATGTACAAAGAAATAAGGAAATGTATTATAATTTACTATAAAATTATAAAAAAATAACAACAATAAAAATAATAAAAATAATAAATAAATAATGAATGCACAATTGCTTACTTCACTTTGCAATTGGTCTTAAAGGGAACGAAATTAACAGTTGTCATAATTACGTATTAGAGGATTTTTCGAAGTTATAATTGTATTTTAGAGATTATAAAGCGCCGAGATCGCAAAGGCTTCCTCTTTTTCAGCTACGTAATTAAAAATTGATTTATTTATTAACGGTCGGCCAGTAGGGAAATCAATTGTCTCTCGGCGGGGCAGCAAGAATCGAGCAGCGAGATCGAGAAAAGTTTCGCAATTCGTTAAAGAAAGATTAGAACGAATGAATAAGTTGAAAAGAAAAAGTTTGAAAAGACGTACGTTTAAATGACTATTTTCCTCTTTGCTACTTTGAAGCGAATTAATAATTAATTTCTCTGTAATACTCTTCGACCTCTGTCCATTGCTTCTTACAGAGTCACAGAGTGTTATTTCCGTCGTCGGCCGGTGTCTTGTCAATAAGCGGATATTATTCTTGTCCCGTATAAAATCGATTCATAACAGGATAAACGAGCGCTTATTAAGTCGTGCAATTGAATTTCATGGATTGACCATTTCTTGCGGAAAAATCATTTTTCGGTAAGCGCAATACGTTCGTGGGGCCATTTTACGTTTTTGATACCGACGAAAGTATCCGTGTCGCGACGAATTTTATAAATCAATTTCCAATGTTCGGAAATCGGAAAGTAATGACACTTTTAACGTCGGCCCGTCCATCAGACTTTCAATTTGATTCCGACGATCTTCGCCTTCTCTATAGACGTCCCTTTCGTCTGGATACCATTCGCTATCGATTCGTGCTAGCACTCCTCGACTAATGATTGCCATCCCCTTCCCTCTCGATCGTCGACTGTGTCCCCCGATAAAGTTTCTTTCCTTGATCGGACAGTCCACGATTAATTTACAGCCTCTCTGCCTCCGACTCGCCGCACGACGGTTTGCCCTGTAATTCCGTTCTCAATTAATTCTCCCTTCATCCACCGCTGTCCGTTGTAATTTCAATGTACCGGGTGTTTCGCGTCATGTCCTTTCGTATCATTTATCCTCCCAGGTATCTCTTCCCTTCTCGATGGCAATCGCCATCCGATTAGATACAACGGGATTTCCTAATAATAATTAAAATAGCCGGCATCGATCGCCTGGCCGAAAGTAGCTTCGACGCGTAAATTCGAAAACGCGATCGACACCGCGTATCAGATTGCAGATTGTTTCTGCGCTGCCGCGCTATCGTTCTTGCATCTAATATATCTGATATTCAACGATTATATATAATCAAAATTGATGCGATTATTATATAACGCGCAGAACGCACGCCCATCTATCATGATCCGTACGTACGATGTGTCATATTCTCCAGTTTATATGTAATTTTGCAATACTAGTTGTCGAACGGTGTTATTAGTATCGTAT